CCTTTGAGCTACCTGCACCTGATGAATGCAGTCCCCTCTACCTCACGGAGTTTTTGTCTGGGGTCTTGGAGAGTTTTTTGTGTTATTTTGTTTTGTTGGCTCTATTAGCACTAGTTCTCTGTTTGGGCAGGATGGTCATCTATTTTTTCATGGTTGTTTAAAGGAATTTTGCCAGGAAGGAAGGAAACATCCACCTGAATCCTATTCTATGAAGCAAATGAAGTTTGTTGTTGTTGTTGTTTTGTTTTTTGGTTATTAGAAGATGTCCCTGAAATGTAATGAAGCATCTTCAAACCTTAGAATTGAAGTATATTGAATCATGAAAGAATTACTTCCTGCACTACCACCCCCTGCAGTAGAGATTTATATTGAGGAAAGTAAGAAAATCAGGAGGGAAACTGCTTCTCCACGCCCCTTCCAACTCCCTTTCAGCAGCAGCATGCTACCGCATGATAGTCACTGTACCCTGTTCCCTCTGGCAGTTATACTTTCCTGTGGCCTGGAAAATACTGTTTTCAGGCCTTCCACAACTTGGTGTGTGTGCGCGCGCACACACCCCACACAACCACACCCCCCTCATGGGCGTGCCTTTGACGCAGAGGCATCCAGTTTATGGCAGAAGTGCTGGAAGCTCACTAGTCACTATAGACAATGCAAACACTCAGCACATTATGGCACCCGTATATATCAGACAAATGCAGTACAAATCATAAGCAATAGTTCTTTTTTTAAAAATATGTATTATTGATTTTTTTACAGAGAGGAAGGGAGAGGGATAGAGAGGTAGAAACATCAATCAGCTGCCTCCTGGACACCTCCTACTGGGGATGTGCCCACAACCAAGGTACATGCCCTTGACCGGAATCAAATCTGGGACCTTTCAGTCCGCAGGCCGATGCTCTATCCACTGAGCCGAGCCAAACCAGTTAGGGCCATAAGCAATAGTTCTGAATCTGGCACAGCCCTAATGACCACAGCCAGAGGCCAGAAAAATGAAATTGAGGTCGTATATCTGGGGTTAGAACTCTAGAAACCATCTGGCATCCCACAACCCAAGGTTCCCCCAGGGAGCTGCACCTAGGAGCATTGGGAGTCCTCTCATCCAGAAGATACTGTCCCCTCACTTCCCTCCAAAACCAGCACAGCTGTGTGGATGAGGACTATTTGCCATATATACACTGAGACCAAGATAGATATACACACCCTGGCGTTTCGCCTGGTTCCTTCTGTGAAGTCCATCTGTTTATCCAGTTCCAAATCCCAGAAGGCAGTCACCAAAAAGTAAATAGTGAGAAGGGACAGGGTTTTTTTCTTTCTTTCTAGATAAACATGTTCCAATGAACAAAACAGATTTTACAAACGCATTCCATCTAGTAAATCTCACCTAACAGCTGTGTGAGAATGGCTTGGAGGAGAAGAAGGCGAGGCGTGGGGGGTCTCAGGACTTGATTAGGAGAATGAAAAAGTTCAGAAATCCACAAGGCTTGGGCAGTTCTTGCTAGATGGAAGTCAGCTGCTTTCCTTCATTCTCTCCCCTCATGCCAAACCTGGGGTCTGTGGGGGGCTTGCCAAAGATAAGTCTGGCTGCAAATGTCAGCTTCTTTAGCGACATGCCCTGTGTTTGTGCGTGTGCCCTCCTCCTCTCCCGTTCTAAAGCTCCTCTGGAGTCAGACAATGGACTATTGCCCTAGGGCTGCCCATCTACCATCTCTGCTTCACATCTACTCCTTTAGCTAAGACAGTGAAAGACTGAGCATAGATCAAGAACATGGATTCTGCAGATCAGAGGCAAGCACAAGAAATTGACCTTATGCCTCAGAGGTGGCTGGATATTTGTGTGTCTCAGTTCGATGTCGAATTGGCTCACTATACCATTCAGGAGTTGTTTTTAAAAATGTTCCCCTCGCTCCTCATTTGCGGGTCAGATGCTTTGGATAATCCAGTGGAATTCTCTCTGCTTGACTGCTGGTTGCTGCCAGACACAGAGTGCTAAATCCTGTCATTGGTGACTTGAAATGGTGATGTGTGAAACAGTGCTGCAATTTGGACATCCTGCATTCATTCGCACAGACTGCTCTCCTAATTAACCACAGTAGTGAAATGCAGCAACAAAGGGGAATAAAGCAGTTTCTACAGCCCTTGCCTTATCTTCACCCTGGGATCAGAGTGCTTATGCTCCCACCCTCCCCCAAAGCCAATATGTGTCTCCAGTAATCAGTCAGCCTTGGAATTCTGTTTTGTTCAATATTATTCCTTTCTCAGGCCTCATAGCACATTTTTTAATAGATTGTAGCATGCCGGAGACAGAGAAATAGCATGTATGTGAGAATAGGAAAGTGAGAAACAAACACTCTTGCTGCTGGTTCCCATCTCCAGTCTTTGCATTTGCTATTTCCTCTTACCCCAGATGGCGTGCCTGGCTCCTCCTTATCTGGCTAGGTCTCAGCTCAAAGGACACTTTCTCTAAGGCAGCGGTTCTCAACCTGTGGGTCACGACCCCTTTGGGAGTCAAACGACCCTTTCACAAGGGTCGCCTAAGACCATCGGAAAACACATCTATAATTACATATTGTTTTTGTGAATAATCACTATGCTTTAATTATGTTCAATTTGTAACAATGAAATTGGGGGTCACCACAACATGAGGAACTGTATTAAAGGGTCGCGGCATTAGGAAGGTTGAGAACCACTGCTCTAAGAGCTTATCCTTGCCTCCCATCTAATGTCCCACCCTCTGTCACTTTATATCACACCACCCTATTTTACTATGTCATTGCCTTACCACTTTCTACAAGTATTTTATTTTTGTCTACTTGTTTATTGTTTATCTCTCCACACTCCCCCCACACACTAGAATGTAAGTTCCATATAAATAGGGATTTTTCTCTGCCTTATCCACTGCTATTTCCACAGAACCTAGCACTTAATATGTATTAATTGAATAGGTAGGAATGTAGCAATTAAGAACTTCGAAAACAAATATATGGTTATTATCAGGAGATGAAAAGGCAAACAAACAAATAGTTTGAAGAATGGAATAAAAATACCATGTTTCCCATATTCATTTTCATAATGTTTTTATTTTCTTTGTTATTGATTTTGAGAGAGAAAGAGGGAAGGAGAAAGGGAGAGAGAGAGAGAGAGAATTTGTTGTTTCATGTATTCATGCATTCATTGGTTGCTTCTTGTATGTGCCCTGGCCAGAGATCACATTCACCACCTTGGCATATTGGGATGATGAACTAACCAGCTGACCTATCTGGCCAGGGCCTCATAATAGTTTTAATTACAAGTTGAAAGTGTTGAGTCAAAGATCACATAAATTGAGTAGTTCTTCATTTCTTCTGATTCAGACTACACTGCTCCCTATTGAGTAGGTTAAGTCAGGGTCATGGAGACCAAGTACAACACTCTTCCTTGCCAAGCTGGCATAACTGAGGCCACAGAGGATGCCCAATTCCAGATTTCCACTGGAAAGTGCCTAGCTTTGCTTTCTCCAGGGCAGGTGCCAGAGGAAACTAGCACAACAATTTAAAACAGTGGAAAGCCCAGCCTGAGTATCTTCATCCAGCCTTTGTTACATTCTTGCCTGCTTCTGGTTCCCAAAGAGAGCACGTTCCTCTTGGAAGCCCAGGGCCCCTGCAGCTCTTTCTGAGATGAGAGATGGAGGGTGAGTGGGTGTGTCTTAGCTTTGACCTGCCCAGTTGTGACATCATATGACTGAGAGAACTTGTTTAGCCTCGCAGACACATGACACTCACTCCTCAGAAGTCCTTCGCCCAAATGAGAAGTATTAGCTTCTCAGAAGTTATCCTTTGTCTTGTTGGGGCAAGATCAGTGCCTAGTGTCAAGAGAGAGATATTAAAGATTAAAGAGCCTCCCCCAGGAAAGGGGATAGTTTTGCCTGAATCTCTTAAGTTGTTTTTCCCCCATACAAGTGCATTCATGTTGCTGGGCTCCCTGACTTACTCCCTGGCCGTTTGTAGTTATTATTCTCATGACTTTGTGGTCTCATTGATATCAGAATGTGTTTCAACAGCTGTAGGTGATGCTTCCATGCTCCACTGCTTTTTCTCTTACTTGCCAACGACTCTTCTGTTGGTTTCAGCCTTTAGCCAAGCCCACCTCATCCACACCCCACTCCTTGTCCTGTCTTCTATTGATGCTGTGTTGACTTTGTGTGTCTCTGTTAGTTCAGTTTTCTGAGCACCTGCAGGGAATTAGCCATCTCTGCTTGCTGCTGGGGATCACCCAGGCCTTTGATCTATTTGATTTCTATACTTTTGGAAATGTTGAAGGACTCTTTAGCTTCACCAAAATACATAAAAGGTGCTGTAGTTTCTGTAGCCTGACCTTCCAGACTAGCTCTGCTTAGGGATCAGAAGATAGTAATGTAAATAAAAGATGTAGATACCATTCATTAAATGTTTACTATGTATCAAATACTGTTATAGTCATTTAACATAACTATGTCATTTAATTCTTACTTATAGGCCTAAAGGCCATACACATGAACTAACCCCAATTATTTCTCTAAACTCATCTCTTGTTTCTTCCCTCCTGGTTCTCTTAGCTCCAGCTATCCTGCTTCTGTGCTATTCCTCTGACCCAATAGGCATGCTCCCTCCTTAAAGCCTTTGCAGTGGCTGTTCCCTCTGCCTGGAATGCTCTTCCCTCAAATGTCTGCCTAATCTTCAACTCTTTACTTAGGTGTCACCTTCTCCATGAAACTTACCTAGACTACTCTATATAAATTGTATCACCACTACCAACTCACACTCACTCCCCAACTTGCTCTCTTCTATTTTTCATCTGTCTTCTCCAGTATAAGGTAAGCTTCATGAGGGCAAGAAGCATGTCTAGTTCCTAATGTATCCTAAGCACCTAAAAACAAAATCTGGCACATGGTAGATGTCCCATAATTCCTGATGCATGAATGAAGTTTGCCCTTCAAAAACCCTGTCTCCCTCTCCCTTCCTTTTTCTATAAAAATCAGTAAGATCGCTTCTCGGCCTTTTGGCTAAGATCAAGTGTAGTATCTGTTCTTATCAGTTTAAAAATCAATAAGAACATATCCTTGGGTGAAGATTAAATATATATATAGAAAGAGATTAACAGGGAGTAAGGCAAGAGCTACTGTTTTAAATACTATGGCCAGGAGAGGCCTTACTGGTATGATGGTATTTGAGCAGAAACCTGAAAGAGGTAAAATAAGCAGGTATTTAGGGACAAAGGGAATAGCAGGCACAATAGCCTGAGTCATGAGCATGTTTGACATATTCAAGGAACAGCAAGCCAGTGTGTGGCTGGAATGGTCTGAGAGAGGGGTGATTAGAAGGAGATGCAGTTAGGGCCATGGTCGGCAAACTGCAGCTCGAGAGCCACATGCGGCTCTTTGGCCCCTTGAGTGTGGCTCTTCCTAAGCCTTAGGAGTACCCTAATTAAGTTAATAACAATGTACTTACCTATATCGTTTAAGTTTAAAAAATTTGGCTCTCAAAAGAAATTTCAGTCGTTGTACTGTTGATACTTGGCTCTGTTAACTAATGCATTTGCCGACCACTGGGTTAGGGCAATAATAGGGGCCTTCATTGTGTAGAGTCTGAGAAGGAAGAAGTATCCTTCTTTATAAATGAGTAAAACTAGGGCTCAAAGAATTTTATCCATGCCACACAGCCAGGAAATAACAGAGACATTTTGAACTTTGTCTTAATTCCAAATTTTATTTTCTTAGCTGGTATGTGTGCTACACTAGAAAGCAATGACATGGGTTTCATAGCATACCCACTCTGCTACCAAGTTATATGCTACCTACCCGGATTCAAACTGTGTCCTGCCTGTTCCTTAGGCTGCTGCCTCACCACAGAGAATTACAATGAAAGAATCCCAGAATGTTAGACCCAAATAGAATCCTGAGGATTACTGAGACAAGAAGTTTACACGTTTTTTTAATAGTTCTGAATGGTCTTGCTTTTTTCAGACCCTTTGATGTCTTCCCACTGCTTATACTTTTGTTTGTTTTTCTAATTATTTAAATAGGCTGTACATGAATGTGACAAAATTTAAAAGGTCAAAAGGGTACACAATCTAACATACTTTAAAATAAATTTAACTTTGTCGAATTGACCCTGATTATTTACATGTGAAGTTTGATAGAGGAAGAAACTGAGGCATAAAGAGTTGGTGCCCAGTTGAAGGCCACCCACCAATGGAGAAGCCAGCTACCTTGTCCAAACTCCAATGAGTCAGACCAGACTTTGTCTTTTAGGAGACTTGTGCATAAAAGAAATGGGGTGGGTTCATCCTTTGATGCCACTGGGATATTTTTCATCTTTTCCTTTTTTTTTGTATGCTTGCCAGTCCCACTGAAAGATAAGGATCAGATCAGGGTTCAAAAAGCCTAACCACTGTGTCATTTCCCAGAATGGAGAGCCACTATCATTTGGTTCACATTTTTATTAAAATAAGATGAGTGATTTACTCACATTATAGGCAAAAAGTCTTTTACCAGGAAAACCATATTTTGAAAAACAAAGCTGATGGCTTTAAGGAACAGTAACTGAACATCAGTTTCCTTTCCCATCCAGTCCCAAAACAGTCAGACACTCTTCTGTCTCTCGCTGCCTCTTTCTCTTACCCACACATGTACATATAATTATAGATATGGCACAGTATATATGCCCACAAAAGACAGAGCACAGCAGGAAAGACAACGGTGGATTCTTCTAGAGAGATGTGTTTATCTGCATCCAATCTTCTTTTCTGGTTCCTGCTGTTTTTGTTTCCTAAGTCTATTTTTTTAGTTGATGGGTAGCCATAAATCCATCATCATTGGTGGAAGTTAGTGGATTCTGACGAGAGAACAGGCTGTGGTCTTTATAAATACGCCTACATGCTGGCAACAGCCTTTCCCTACTCACACAATCATCGAGAACCAGGGAACTTTAGATTGGTTTTTTATTTTTAGTCTGTCTTGGTTCAACTCACCCTGAGTAAGTAACTCTGTTAGCCACTGCTTCTTTTTATATTTATTTAGAAAAGAAGGAAAATGCATTTTAAGTGAATCAAATGCATAATCTGTTCCACTTCTTATTTATTCTGTGGCTACTTTGGACAGTGGAAAGCCCAAAGAAATAATAACTTTTATTGGTTTTTGTTTTCTGTGGCTTGCTTTCTCAGACAAGTCCTCATCAGACAGTTTTGCTGATAGCTTATAAAATTTCAGCCTGATTTTAAATTGGAAAGGAGAGAGTAGTTGGAAGTTTTTTTATGTATATTAAATACACTTTTCTCTTGCCAATCTGTGTCTAGTCCTGTTAAAACTGCAGATACAGGTTTATAGTGGCTTAAAATGTTTATTTTTGTTATCCCTTCTCTAGAGAGATTAGCAGAAAGTCACCTAAACTAGAAAGGGCCTATCAGTTTGAGGGGAACAAGGAAGCTGGGAGCCAGATTGACTACATCTGACCCTGGAGCCAGCCTAGAGGAATGATGGAGATGAAATTGCTGGTGGCAGGTTTAAATATTAACAGTGATTCAAGTAATAGCAGTTGCAGCTAGCACTGCATTCTCATTGTGGAATTCACTATGCTAGGTGTTTATATCCATAAGAGAAATAAAAGCTGCTGAGTCTCAGGGCTCCAGGGAACAAAAAGGACATAGGGAGCCTGTGTAGTAGAGAGGCCTTGCCCTGGAATCAGAAGGCTTGATTTGATCATGGTTCTGCCATTTACCTGGTGATTTTGTCCCTTGCTGAGGCTCATTCTCCTTGTCTATAAAAAGAGAAATTATACCATTATCCTCTCCCTCCCCCTCAAGGGTTCGTATGGGAATCAAAAGTGATCATGAATATGAAAATGGTTTGCATAATTATATAGTCTCTCTACCAATATGACTCATCAGCACTTTTAATGGTGAGATGATAGAGGATTGGCAGTGTATTAACTATCAAGAAAAATGGTGTGTGTTTGCCTCAGGCAGGAAGACTATTTATTCACTCATCAACGAAGAACAAAGGCAAGATAAAGTAGTCATGAGATAAGAAATAAGATTGCTTTAGCCACCCACTGGCTTGAGCTGGAGATCTCCGTGAATTGTGCCTTCTCTTATGCAGGTGCCATCCCACCTCTGTGCCTCAAATGGAGGCGAGTGATAACAAGAGCAGGTGCTGTTACTGAGTGCTTCCCCTGTGCCATATGCCAGCACTGTCAGTTTACTGTCTCTCTCTTTTTTAAGCATCTCTGTAATCCTCTCAAGAACTCTTCATGGGGGGTAAGAGATCAACCAAAGGACTTGTATGCATGCATATGAGCATAACCAATGGACACAGACGGGGTGGGGGTAAGGGGTGAGGGCATGTGCTGGGGGTTAGGGGTGGCCGGGGAGAGGTCAGTGGGGAAAAAGGAGACTTATATAATACTTTAAACAATAAAGAATTTAAATTAAAAAAAGCCCTCCCCCCCAAAAAGAGAACTCTTCATGATTAGTATTAGTAATATCATTATCCCTATTAGTGTTGTTGTTATTATTATTCACTCTTATTTCCAACTGGCTTGCTCAATGTCATATGACCAACTAGCTGAAGAACCAAGCTTGGGATTCTGGTTGGCCGATTCAGGAGCCTGCACTCTTAAGCATGTGTTACATAAGACCCATGCAGGGGTTAGGGGCTTTTAACTGTCCTCCACAGACCCCTAGAGTTTCAAAGCAGTGCCTCAGGCCTTCTCTCCCCTCCACCTCATTCTTTGCACCTTTAGCCTGGGTGAGGGCTATTGAGAATATTGGGCAAAAAAGACTTCTTTAATCTATGTTGTTGAGGTTCCTTATAAGATTCCCATTGAGGGGAAAAGTATATCTGTTTAAAAAAATTTTTCAACCCTCACGTGCCACAACTTCCTTATTTTACAGGTGAGAAAATGGAGGCCCAGAAAAATGTAATTAGTTCTGTGCAGAACTCAGACCACGTATTTTTCTTTATGTATTATGTCTTTGTGGTAGAACAGAATATTCGCCCTAAAACAACATGAAAGCCCTCACTGTGGCCATAAAGATCCACATAAGGAAATTCAAAACACCATGAATTTCCTCTCTTTCAAAGGTTGTGAGGTATTCCAGATATACCACCATGAGAGGGCAGAATGTTTCCTCTGACCTCTAGTTACCATGAGGAGGGATGGAGTTCATTTCCACCCGAGCTCTCAGGCCTGTTGAACCGTTTCTTTTCAAGTAAGAGTGGGCCACAAGAGTTTTCCACAGCACCTGCTTCTTCCTGGATAAGAATTACATCTTGGCTCTGAGGTCTCTGTTTCAAAGGACACACCCTGTCCTCTTATTTCCAAATGAAAACGTGAAGCAACAACAACTGGTAGAGCTGGGTAGTTGGTCTCTGGATTAGGATGAATGGTGGTACAAATGCTAGGCTTGAAATAACTTTCCTGATGGGCTGCTGGGCCCTTTGGGAGCTTATGGTGCCAAGATCCTGCTCCATATTTTGATGTCCAAAGCTGCCTGCCATTTCCTCAATAAATGGTCAGGAGACTATGCTTGTGCCAGAGTAACTAGCCCTGTTGCTACTGGCACTGGTGCCTCCGTTCATAATGCCATATGGCTGCCCACTCTAGGCCTATGCACTCCTGTTATATTTCATGTCATCAAAGCTGTTGAAGAGAGTGACACTCCGCCCCAGAACCAAGTCTTGCCTTGGTCCTCCAACTCTCAACAGCCCCATCATGATGAACAGAAGGCAGGGCAATACCCCAAGGGTCTCACACAGTCTGGGGGTTCTTATCATATCAGACCTGGCCTCTAGTTCAATCCCACAGTAGTGAGTAGGGATGGCCATGGTAAGCCTAAAAACCTAATCAGATTGCCATAATGTGCCATACACGATCACAGGTTAGAATTGCTCACATTTCTTTTTTTCTTTTTTTAATTTCTTGCATCTTTGTGTGTGTATGTGTGTGAGTGTGTGTGTGTGTGTGTGTGTGTGTATTCTAATCTAATAAAAGACAAACATGCAAATTGACCATACCTTTGCTACACCTTAAGCCACACCCACCAGCCAATCAGAGCAACTATATGCAAATTAACCCAACCAAGATGGCGGCCGGCAGCCACGGAGCTGAAGCAAGCAGGAGGCTTGGTTGCTCCAGTGATGGAGGAAGCCAAGCTTCCCAGATGCTCAATGCAG